GGTGTGATTGTCAGTGTATAATCAGGCTTTATGTCCCATTTCCCTTTTTCCAAGCTGACATTGCACGACTTGTGGCAGGAGAAAGGACGCGTGTGGGCTCCACATCGCTTGACAGGTCTGACGTGTGCGTGTTGTTCTGACGGGAGCAGGTCGCCCTTCACGTGACTCTTCCCACGTCACCTCTTTATTTCCTTAGGCATAACAGTGATGTTAATAAATGTAAAGGTTTTGTTTAAAGGATAAGTATGGTCATAAAATCAAATGATTTACTAATTATAACCCTAATGAAACAACAAATGATATATTCTTTGACCTAATAACGTCAAACTATTTTAAATTAAACTTGATAGTCTAGCATTTAATGATATAATTTTAAAATACAGTAATACTACACTTACAAACCATTCTCACTAATTTTTTCTCGCAAATGCGATGTATCAGCTCATAATTAATCAGCTCATAATGGGTCCCGTATGCCCAAATGCTAGCTAACCAATAACGAGTTGCTACGTCAGCATTTGTGAGAGAAAATTATGAAAAGTGTTTGTCAACCTATCTTTATTATTTAAAGTATGATTAAAACATGCTAGATCGAATAATCTAGTGTATTCCTATACCGTGGTTATTAGTATCCTACGATACCTGATACATATCATACAATATGATTCTATACAGGTCGCCAACGATATGTATCAGAGAGTGTATCTTAACCTTTCGATACGTTAATATGTATCCTACATACAATACGTATCAGTTCGTATCTTTAAAAATATCAATACAAATCGATACGACTTTATTAACTTGGGCCAAAGGCCCAACAAATTTTTGGGTCGGAACTGGGTCACCCAACCCGGTTCACTAAAACCGCCTACAATTTACTCATTTTGCATGGAGAAAGTGAAGAGGAACATATGTTGCCCATTTTGCATGATAATAATAATACAAGTGGAGATATAAATATTAATATTAATCTTATAAATAATATGAAAAGTTGAGAGAAAATGATATAGATTCTTAATTCTGTGATTAATTTTGATTATGTAATACCATAATTTAAAGTCAATAATACCACAAAATTCTTTAATTAATCTTGGGGATGATATTAATTTTTAAAAAAATTTGATTATTTTATTAATTTTTTTGAAAAATGCGTATCTTACGATACGATACGCGATACACGATTCGAAAAATTAGGTTTTTGATACACAATACGATACGCGATTTGACAACAATGATTCCTACTATTTTTTTTCTTTTTTCTTGGTGACCGAAGGTGTTTGGGCCAGCTTGCACATACATCAACTAATTTCTTGTGGTCATGAAGTTAACGACCTAGTAAACCTCGCTCGAGGTCCATTGAACACTCTAAAAGCTCAATGGGTCAAGTAAGTCACAAATGTGGTAGGTCTAATTCCTTGAGTCCTGAAGTTAACAATAGAATAAACCTTGCCTGAGATCCATTGAACACCCTACAAGTCTAATATGTGAGATAAGTCACAAATATGATAAGTGGCTACTTAATAGAACTCGAACATAAAACCTCTGGATAACCTAAGATTTTGTCACCGGTCACAAGCCAAGTGGTTAATTCCAACTATTTTTTATTGTGAGCAGATAATGTGTGACACATGATTTTGTATATTTAACTTAATAGGTAATGGGTTTTTATCCAAAAAAAAAAAATTAATAATGGATGGGGGTCATATCATAATTAGACATAAGTATAAGGCTATCCAAGCAAAAGACAGAGTTACAAGCCCACCCACCGTCGATACAAACATACTAGGTATAAATAGAACAGTCAGAGTTACAGCAACCACCAAAAAGCACATTGGCATTATCACATCATCCACTCCACTCGCTGAATGCAAGCTGCTATTGCAGCCATGGCAGCCCACACTCTCCTCTCTGCCTCTCCATTTTCTTACACTCTTCTCTCCACATTCCCCTCACACTCTTCTCCTCCTCTTCACTCTTCTTTTCACGGCGTCTCTCTCAAACTCCCTCTTCGTTCAAGCTTGACTCTCTCCGCCGTCGCTCCCAAGCCCCTCACTGTTGTCGCCGCCACCAAGAAAGCCGTCGCTGTTCTCAAGGGAAATTCTAATGTTGAAGGGGTTGTCACTTTGACTCAAGAAAATGATGGTCTGTTTCTCTGTTTTTTTTTTTTTTTTTTTAATTTTAATATTTTGTCTGAATTGTATGTTCTGGGTGTTTGTTTTTGGTGAATTTAGTGAAGAATCTGAGGTGGTATTTTTTCTGGATTATTATTATTATAGAAATATGAATTTTAGTTAATCAAATTTGTTATGAAACTGGGGGAATGCGATAGTCACATTTAATAGAAGTTTGGGATTGATGAAACGATTGATTTTAATAAATTGCTGATTTTTATTTATTTTATAGATGAAATAATTGTCTCATGCAATATCTTTTTTCCCCCAAAATATTGATCATTTATTTAAAGAATCAACGGAGCAGCCTAGCAGGAATGCTCTGCAAATTTTTTGCTTTTCACTACATAAAACTTAAATCTTTAATAGGCAGACCTTTTTTTTTTTTTTTTCTCCTCATTGCTTCCCTTTTATCTGAATTTGGGAAAACCGCTACCATACCAAGTCAAATAGCCATATGTGGACACTGGAGTCTAGTTTATTATTTTGGTGTTTAAGAAGTGGAAATGCAATACTAAAAATTTGATATGTTGTTCTCTTTGTATTTGTTGTCAGCAATTGTCTCTTGGATTTAAGCGGTTATTAATAAGTGTTTAACTCTCTTATAAATAGGTCCTACGACTGTGAAGGTTCGTATTACAGGGCTTACTCCTGGACCTCATGGTTTCCATCTTGTGAGTACTTATGGCTGCAGCTTTTTCTAAACTTTGTTTTTTTCATCCTGTGAGATTTCCTAATGGTTTTACTTTATGTTTTATTCTTATGTAGCATGAGTATGGTGATACAACAAATGGATGCATGTCAACAGGTAAGGCCTGACTGTAATTAAAGCTTACGCCATCACTATGTCACTTCTTACAATGTTTCAGTTGTTGAAGATCATTATTCTGATGCTTGCATACGCTTTTATAAATTTTTTTCTGTCACTTTCTTTTTTCTTCTAAATTATAGGAGCACATTTCAATCCTAACAATATGACTCATGGTGCTCCTGAGGATGAAATCCGTCATGCGGGTGACCTGGGAAACATAATTGCTGGTGCCGATGGTAATGCATTTTCTTTTTCTTTCTTTCTGTAATTTTTTTTTTTTGGTCTTCCTCTGAACCAATCTGATAATTGTTTTACACAGGCGTGGCAGAAGCAACAATAGTAGACAGTCTGGTATTTTAATGCTTGGTTTTGTTTCCACCAATGTTTGTTTGTCTGTTGTAATTGTTTTTGTTTTTTCTTTTCCTTTTTGATCACTTCTGAAACTAATTATGATATTATAGAGGACTGTGTTTCCTCCTTGTTAATATTTGATAAGGAAAATGATAGAGTTACCGAAAGTTATACACTGAATTCGTGCACCCAATGACGTGGCAAAATCCTGACCGTTGCTTAATATTAACTTATAATGAATCAACGGTCAGGATTTTACCACGTCATTCGGTGCACATCCTTCGGTAACTGTAGCATTATTCATTTGATAATTTTGGCTCAACTGTGCAGATACCATTGAGTGGTCCTAATGCTGTAATTGGAAGAGCCCTTGTGGTTCATGAGCTAGAGGATGACCTTGGAAAAGGTATGTATTTATTTATTAATGGTTTACTTGGCTTGCAATTCATCTTTGCGCAGACAGGAAATTGGTTGTTATAAGTTTTACTGGTGCCTGAATTGCACTTTGACATTCTAATGTGTGCATGGTGCTGAGGGAAGAACTTCGGAATGGAAACCTATTTTTCTTTCACCATGAACTCAATTTTTTATCTATGCAGCAAAATATATATTATTTATTAATTAACACAAATTTTAGGAAATATTGGGAGAAAAAAGGTCTTTGCTTTCAAGTAGGGGGGATTTCTTCTCTCCTCTTAACAATGTTATAATTATGTACTAATTGCTGCCTTTGATGCTATCTTATTTGTTTTCTACTTTTGCTCTCTCCTCACTCCCATTTTGTTTTACATCTGTAGGTGGGCATGAACTTAGTCTAACCACTGGCAATGCAGGCGGAAGACTAGCATGTGGTATGCAAAACAAAAGAAAAAATGGATTTCATAAATCTACGTTTCTACAATTATCTATAATTTTCTGCATGTGCCTGCCTCAAAGAGTTTTATCTTCTGTGTGGTTTGTTCTTTGATTGTAATTAGTAAGCCAAAAGTACTGATTCATGATTAACTAATTTGAATTTTGAATCTCTAGTAAACATGATAGGAATATTGATTCTACTAAACTAATTGACTATACTTGGAGCATGAAATATGATAAGAATATTTCTGTAGTAAATAGTGAATGACCAAACTTGTAGCAGTTCTTCATACAGTTTTTTTTTTTTTCTTTTTGAATAATATATTTAATTAAAAATGGCATGTATATGTGTTTTACATCTATTCTTATTAACAACTCACAGAGACTTGGCATCGATTGATTATTTTCTTCTTTGCCACTGATATGTAAAAATATACGGACACAAACGAGCTTGAGCTACTGAAGGTGTAAAGAATTGTATGATATATGATGACTATTGCTGCTTGGAGTGTCAGATTGTGTTTAGAACCTTTACTCAATAATGGTGCTCCGACAAAGAAAAGTCTTCTGTAACATCATTTTCGCTTTTGATATTGGGATTATTTAGCTTAAACCCCTATCTCAAGGTTAAGGACCCTTGAAAAGTACTTCCTATGCCAGTGGTTTGTAAAATGTCTATATGAAGGTAAAAATTTAAGTGGAGTGTGGACCCTACTATTTCTGAGGTTGGATTTACCCTTTGTTCTCCTTTTCACTCCTTTTTCCATGTAGTTTTTCTTGAAGAATGAGAGTAGAAGTGGGGAAAGAGGGATTAGTCACCATCATTTGACTGTATCTTTGATATTTTAAACCTTCCCATGTCAGTGACTAGAATGGAAGTAATAAGGGAGAATGTGAAGGCATCTGAGAAGTATGATTTATTTCCATCAATAAACCTACTGAAGAATCAAACCATGAAGTATTTAGTTGTTTGTTAGAGATCATGTCTTTCTGGGTCTCACATTTGAAATAGGGAGAATGATCATGTTTCTGATTGGCATGTGACATGTCATAAAAATGGAAAGACCTGCACCCAAGATTAGTCCTTGCGCATTGAAGATTGTAACATAGGAATTCAGATGGTTAATAGTTCGGAAGTAGGGTAAATCATGTCAAACTAGAAAATTAACTTTCTTATGGATTTAATTTATTCCCAGTCTCAATTCTTGCTGAAATTTTGGTTATTTTCTATTTTGGCTTCCATTAGTTTGCTTTTACCGGTCTGTGTTCTACTATTCCTGTTGGTTCAGTCTTCAAGATTTCATGATTTTTCAATTTTTCATCTTTTCACATAATGTCTACGCAGGTGTTGTTGGCCTGACTCCACTGTAAGGTTAACACCAGATTGAACCAAGTATGGTCTGCACAAATGGCTGCTTGCTCTTGCCAGATTCTCTTATAGAGCCCGATGTTATTATGAAACCGAGACAGTGTAACATAAAAGTGTGGAGACAGCAGTGTTAATAAATAATGTTTGCAGGCATTGATCTTGTTTATTTGTATCCCCGACAAAATAAAGTTGGCGTTATCTGTGCATGTCTTAAGGATGTCATGAACTTTTTGGGTTTTAAATTAATGGAAGATGGGTTGATGTAGTGTAATACGTTGGTCTTATTTTGGCTAAAAGGTAGTTCACTCGGTATAGTTTGATAGCCCGTGTTGGAGCCATGGGGCACCAGGTGACCAACAGGGTGTATGCTCACTAACCCGTTATTAGGCTAGACTGCAGCACTCAATTCATTTCGTTTTTTCTTATTGGTTTTCCAGAAAGTGGAATTTATTCATTTTGTAGGTCTGTTATTGGGCTTATGTGAAGACAGTTTAGAACTTCTTGACCAGATAAAAATAAGTTAGAACTTGGTCACTTACCTATAACCAATGGGTCACTATTTCACTGAGTCAGCTAGTGGCCACCTGACCTGAGCTTGCAGACATCACCAGGCGGTGGAAAAACATTTTTGTGCATATGTTGTACACAAGTGTATTTCACTTCCATTGATATTGATATGAAACAAACCAACCCCATTATGCAGCAGCAAGCTGTATTCAGAATGAGTCGTAACAATTATCCTGAAATAGGATTTGGGTTGGAAAATATTCTATATTCCAATTTTTGCATTGAGTCATCAATTGATTTTTATTTTGTCTTGAGGATATTTTTACTTTCCATGACGTGTTAGACGGCATTTTTTTGTTGATAATTCTCGTCGGTATTATTCTAAATTTGACCTTCATAATTGAATGGCTGCTAAATGAAACCTGCTGTGGCTGTGGAGTTGGTGAGTAACCACATACGTATGCTGAAATATCTTTTATTTCACTACCTTTCAACTTCAATTCATTGTGTCTTTCATCTCTGATCTTGACTCACAATTGAACGTGGGCCAAATTGGTCTTGATTCTTGTGATTTTTGTAAACCATTTTCCATACATTTTTCTTCAAATATTGGTATGCACTAGCTATTACCTACTCAAATATCAGGAATCAAAGATGAAAAATGTTAACCTTCATTGATTTTCTGAGTTCAAACCACTTCGGAGTCACTTATCACATATTTGTGACTTACCTTGGAACATTATCCTTATAGGGTATTCAATGGGTCTCAAAGATTAGTTTTGAGGCGTACGCAAGCTGGTTCGGATACTTCGATCATAAAAAAAAAAGATAAAAAATGTTTTAAATAATTTAAATGTTTTTTTTTTCTTTTTCAAATATTACTTTGAAATCCGGCTTAAAGTAACATCTCTAGTTACTTCTCCTAACTTAACGGCACTGATAAAGTGATAATAAGTAGGTTGACGCTCTTAAATCTGATATAGAAGTCCCCATTAGATCAAAAAATTAGGTTGAGATTTATGGAAATATTTGAAGTAGGTCGGCCACCTAATCAAAGTCTAATAGGGTTAAGCAGAAAATTCTTTGGACTGAAGTGTATAAGTGTCAGAAATAGCAGTGAGAAGATGCTTAATTATAAATTATTGACAAGCTAATTACAGTACCCACCATTCACGGTGATCGCATATTGTTATTAATTCTTGATTTTGTCAAGTGTTAGGCTTACAGAAATGATAATTTCTTGATGATTAATTTCTTTTCTGTGGGCTTACTGACAGATTGATTATGACAAAACAAAAGACTAATTAATTTAATTACTAATAATTAACACAGAGAGTGTGATTGTATTGAATATTGATGCCATAATTATTTTGAATAGAATAGCCAACAAACCAATACTTGCTTTAACAAGCAACCTAATTAGGTAAGACACTCTCATATCTCTCGCTCCATTTCCCAAAAACAGAATCCAAATTACCATTTTTTCTATTAATGACATAAACAAGTTTAACTATCTGTTGTTTGATAAAGAATCTTAAGTGTATTATTTAAAAGGTCATAAGTTCGAATCTTTTCTCAGTTACTGATAAGGGTAACTACTATAACTTTTACTCGACCAATAGTTCCAAGTTTTAGGAGATTATTTGAGATACGTGTGAGCTGGACCGGACACCCTCGATCATAAAAAAAAAAAAAAAAAAAAAAAGACATAAACAAGTTTAAATGCCAATTAAGACTAAGAAAACTTAAATAAATGAGATTAACACATGTTTAGGTGTGGGTTAAATATGGATTGGATTAGCACATGAATTGAGCATAGAGAAATGGAAGATGCCTAGAAAGGAAATGAGTTAGGATTGATGCTTGATTGAGAGTTGATTTGCAAGAGCAAGTGTGAAAGTACAAGTAGAAGAAATCCAGTGAAAAGAGTGTCATAATTCATAAAGCCTAATTAGTAAAATGGGGTTCATGAGTTGGCTGATTGTCATTTTCGCTAAAGGTGGAGTTTGATGGCTACCCATTTCTTCATTTTTGCTTCTTTGTGCATTAGTTCCAACTACCCAAGTGCTTCTCCAACGCATTCTAATATATCAACCTAATTAAGGGTATGTTTAGTACAACTTATTTGAGTAGAGTTTATACAAAAAGAGTATAATAAAGTAGAACTTTTAAAAATATAACTTCTATGACAATTTTTTTCAGTTATTTAGTCAGAAAAATATATAGGAGTTTTTTAGTATTAATTTACCAAAAATGACTTTGAAATACAAGAATAATTCAAGTCGAATTTATAAAATAACAAAAAGATATTTTTGACCTTTCAACACTTTAAATAAAGCTAAAAAGAGCTAATGGGAGTAACTCAATTTTTGAGCTTCTCCGACAAATTGCAACATAACCTATTTAAAATTCTATTAAATACTTTTGAAATACAATCAAACAAATTAAAAATATTTCAACACTACTCATAACTTTAAATAAGTTCTTTTGGCCAGTAAACAATGTCCAATCAAACAGACCGAATAAAAATTTATAGAAATTTTTAAATGCAATGAGTGATAGTTAAAGTGTAGAAGTTGAAGCATAATTTAAGGGAATAATTGGCGTGAAGGATTAGTGTGTTGTATGGTTAGCTTTTTCGCTTTGTAGTGTAACTATTTTTGAGTCATACTCCATGACAGATATGCTAGTTTGGATTCATATATATCTTTGGTAGCAACAACTCATTAATGTCTTATCATATCCTGTTTGTTTTTTTTAATATTTTTTCTGCTTGGTTGTGGAGAAGATGGAGCTAATTACAACAAACATGATAATCTGTATCAACTTCATTAAAATATTTTAATGAAGTTTTGCGGGCATTGACTTCTAGCTAGGCTGCTTTTCTTTTAGACTTCACTCAAATTCAAGAATATGATTCTTAGAATATCTAGTAAACGTATATCTACTTATTTATTCGCTGGAACTCGTTTGTCAATAAAATGGGATTCAAACATATTCATTTAGGCAGATTTTAAGATGAATAATTGATCATGTATATAAACACATAAGATAACCATCACTGGATGACCTGATGATAAAATAATAAATAAGGATCTAACATGGTTTTCCAAGTTCGAGTCCCCTTGATTATAAAAGAACAAGAGGAGGATCTAACATGATCTTTTAAGTTCTAGACCCTACGGTTTGGCCACTAGAGCTCTTATTCGACCGGTAGTTCTAAGATCCCAAAAGATTAGTTGAGATGTACGTAAACTGGCCTGGATATCCCTAGTCATAAAAAAAAAAAAAAAAAATAATAATAATAATGATAATGCAATTCCGTGACATTCATTGATTTTCATTATCATAGAAAGTTTATATGAATTTCGAAACCAGCTTCTGATAAACGAATCAAAAAGGGAGAAGTGTTTTGTTAAGTAAAGAAAACGTTAGCAACACTTTTGAGTAAAGTTGAAAACAGAAACAGATTGCATGAGATAAGAGAGTTAAATTAAATTAAATGAAATATAAAATAGAAGGAGCATGAGAAATAGAGATGAGATGTGACATATGAAGAAGCATTGTGTGGTTATGATTAATATCGAGAATTTTGGAAGCTTGCCAGAAAGAACCTAACATAAATGGATGATGCCACCATTAAAGTTACGACAAATCTTCACTACAAAAGCAATCAACCTAACATCAGAATCACAGCATTATCATTAATCGTTGGATAAATTTTGAATACAAGAGATACCATACGTAGAATACTAGAAAATGGTGTGTGTCACTGATTTGTGATGTGTGTGAGCCAAGAAATTTTAGTAAATATAAAAACAAAAAAGTGGTTTAGTTGAATGATGTTTAGATATGAGGTGCTCAGTTGCAATGGCAATGAACCAACGTGTTCTCTCTTGAATAATATATATGTGGTTCACAATCACAACACACCCTTCTCTCTTTCACTTTCTCGATTTCTCACTCATCTACAGATTGTGAAGTGGAGTGAGTATTAAGTTCACTAGCTCACTCTCTAGTGTATATTACTCAACTCTCATGATATCGACACCCTGACCAACCATTTCTCTCTTAACTCTCTACGGCGCCTGTCTTTTGTTTAAGCTTTTATTATTTACTTTAAAATATTATTTATGTTTCAAATGTACTGTATATAATTCAAAAAAAAATCTTTCATGTAATCTTTTTATTCTTGAATATCTTTTAGATATATGATTATTTTGTGTTTGAATATCTTTAATTTAGAAACAGTACGTAATATCTATTTGTCGGTTTGATATATTGAAAAAGAAGACAATAAATTAATATTGTGCCATTACTTGTGGTCTAGGAAATAGACATATTTTAGCACATCTATAAGATTGTATATAAAGACCTAATCCCCATTGTAAGATATCTTTTGATGATTTCACAAACAAAACCGTGGTTGAACATGTTTGGCTAGAGAAGAGTCAATGTGTTGCAAAGCAAATCTAAGATAATGGGTTATATTTAGGAGTAAACGACTTTTTCCCACCCAAGATTTGCCTTAATGACAATTTTTCACCCAAAAAATTTTAAAATACCACTTTTTCATCCAAAATTAATATTTCGTTACTATCCAAAACTGATTCTGGTGGCGAAAATTTTCTTTGTCACCACTATTTGAACCTCGGTCTTATCCATACAAAACTCCTCTCACTCCGACACCTGATTTTTTGCCGATTGCTGGTCATCGAAAATTTAGGGTTTTCTATTCTTAGTTGATTTTCAGTTGATTCTGGCGACGAATACTCAATCGGTCACCACTATTCGATCCGCTGGCCTTTACTCTATAAAACCTCTCTTACCCTGACTCCTAGTAGCTCGCTGAACACTAGCTGAGAAAGTGAAGTATATTTTGGGTATTAACGGAAAATAAACTTTGGGTAGGAAAGTGGTATTTTAAAACGTTTTGGGTGGAAAATGTCATTAGGCAAACCCTGGGTGGGAAAAAGTTGTTTACTCTATATTTAGTGTAATTAATTATTGATTAGATATTTAACAGGGCAAATCGAAAATTGATTGGGGCATGAATTGGTAGCTAATTAAAAACTTACGTGCCTCACACGACTATTGATAATAACAACAATTTGTTAGTCAAGTAGGTAGAACCTCAAGTGTAGTAGTGTAGCTCTTCTTTGCCACCATCAGTACTACAAAATACAAATACGACTCTTCTCCCTCTCTCCATCTCCTAATTTTAGATTCTTTACTTTTATATTACATTATACATTGAATCTGATTCCCTTTTTAACTTCTTCTTTAAGATATTTCATTTACTTTACTTAATTAATCTCTTTTCTTTTATACTTGTAAATTGCTATGCACGTGTTCTTGTTCAAAACAATTCAATGTGTGACCACTAGCGTACCCAGTTTCAACCCATCCAATTAATACACCCCTAAAAAGATGCCCTAGTCTGTTTTATTTATATATTCATCACCATATTTTAGCATGCCCTCATTTTATAATTAATATCAAAATTAAAATTCTAATATAACCCAAATCATCATTATAGACCTTTAGTTTGAATAATTATGTAGAAGCCAGAAACGGACATTATATATTGAAGTAAATATATAGTTGAAAAGATTATAATAAAAGGGGAGATGGGTTTAAGATTATAATAAAAGGGGAGATGGGTTTAAGTAATGAAGATGCGAGTCTCATATTCTTGTTATTTAAGACTTAAGAGAGAGAGAGAGAGAGAGAGAGAGAGAGAGATTTGGGTGGGGGTTCCCTTCAATAATTTAATGAGTGATCAAATCACTCCATTGATCTTCTTCAAAATATATGTTTAGAAAGAAATATGTGAGGGCCACTTTAAAGATTCTTAGGCGTATAACGTGAACAAGAGTAAGTTCAATCATTTTTGCTTGATTGAGCTTTGAGTGTACACGACTACTACTTACTTTATCACTACACATTTTCTTTCTAATTAATTAATTCATTACAGATATCATGCCAGCCAATTGGGTTTTACCAAATTTCTTATTTAAGAAAAATATTTACCTCAATAAATTATTATTTAATTTGTATACACCCGGTTCATACAAATAATAATAAATATGCTATAGCATTATATAATATTTTGATTTTTGTGTATAATGTGAGGTGTTATTGATTTAGGGTTTTTCATAAGAATCATAAAATTAAGTACCACCCTTGGGTAGCTCAAGTGACAAGTGGTAGGATGAACGATTGAGACGTGTGGTTAAAGCGCACGGTCTCAGGTTTGAATCTCCCTGGCTCACAAGATTTAAGTAGGTGATTATGGTGGTGGGATGTTGTGTTAATCACCTACAGGGATTAGTCGAGGTGCGCACAAACTGGTCCGGACACTCTGTTTCAAAAAAATAATAAATAAATAAATGAAATTCAATGATTAATATCATATATCACTTGGAAAGCATCTAATTACTATTGATTATTTTAATATTCTCTTACTAAATGAAGGTGATAATAGATCTCACAAAAATGTTGGCTAATGAAAATTAAATATATGGATGGTCAACGGTACTTGAACAACTTGATAATGAATGAAGTAGTAATTATATAAAAAAAAATGATATATCAAACCAGTAATTTTATAATATCAATAGTATTTATTACCATTGATAGGGACCATATGAATATTTTAACTGATTGAAATTTGAAAGGGCAGGCAGGGGTTGTTTCATAATCTAAAGAGTAGTGATGAAGAGGTTAATAAAAAGCAATAATTTTAGCTTAAGCAATTAGCAAAACGTCACTAACTTGGTGCCTTTAAGCAAGAAATTAATTGATTTAATTAGTTATATACTTTAAAGATGGTGGATTCACTTTATCAAATCACATGTATAGCAAGCTAGTTAAACTACCCAATTTGGAGAATGGGATTATGTGACAAATCACAAGCTTACACTCAATAACCCTAAATTATAAGCCATTAGTTAGTTCCTAATCAATAAAGATTGACTCACAATCTAATCTTAAATTTTTTTTTTTCACAACCCCAACTTAGCAGCACGCAATTGGGCATACGGGACTCATAGTGAGCATGCGAGACTCATTTTACGAACTGATCAATAACGAACTGTTACATCGGGATTATAAGAAAAAATTTATGAGATTAGGTTGTAAGTGTAGTATTGGCTTTGCCCTTTCCTAATTAGTATCTAACTGAGCTACAATTAGTTACATAATCAGCAGGTGGCTTCCTAAGTCCTAACTAAACTTTTTAGATTAGAGCAACGAAACAGAATAATTAGTAGAATAGGATTAGGTTAACTTCAACAAAATTTAATTAATTATAATTATGATTCTTTTGGTGTACCTTCTTAATCCTAACAAGTCCATCTCTCTTTTAATAAGTTTAGCTGATTATTAACAAAAGGTTTATAATTAAAAAAATAGAATATTTCAGTTAATTAATTAATGTTAACAGATAAGCTGCGATCCCAAGGTGCCTCAAAGAACATGAAATTAACCAAAAACTGACTGATCACAGTAGTTGTCACTTGTCACATGCTTAATTACTTTAATTGAATTTAAGATGAACATCCTTCTTCTTCTTTTTTTTTTTTTTTTAATTTTATTTTATTACTAGACAGAGTACTAAAAAATCGGGAAATAAATCTTAACATCAAATTTTAAATATACACATGTCATTAAATTTTTAAGAGCTCAATAAAACTCAAATCAGGAAAGGATCTTAATTCCAGTCTACTAGTTTCTACACTCACAAGCTTTATGTGAAAAAGACACAGGAGAAAACTACTTCTAATAACAATTTTTAAAAGCAATTTTTTTTTAAATTTTTTATCACTAGGTGTTTGAACCAAATTCCGTGCACCTTAACTAATTTTTTAGAACCTTAAAACTATTGATCCGATAAGAGTTTCAATTGTCTACCTCTATTAGTAACTAATGTGAGACTCGAATTCATGGTCTCTTGAGTAATACACCTAAAAGTTTCTTATCTCCCATGAATTATGACTTCTTTTACAAGTGGAACTAATTGGTCAAATTTTTTTTATTAACAGTCTTTCCTAGGAGAATTTATTATGATTTATTTATATATAATTAAAGAAAAACTGAAAAAGAAAGAAAAGGTAAAGAAGAAAGCTTGAAAGTGAGGAGAATCTGAGAAATACCGAAATAGTGGTGGTGAAGGAGGTACTTTACTTTAAGAAGACATGGAGTGAATGAGGGTAGCACGCCTTTAACGTGCAAACCCTTTTCTTTTTTATGCCTTGTGTTTATTCGTGACTTCACTTCACTTCTGTAAGATATCTCTAACTCCCTCTTAACGTTATTAAAACCAAACTCAACTTATCCCTATTTTTAGTACCCTCCTAATCTATCCACGTTACTCTTCTTTTGGTAACTGTTCACGGGGCCGTTTTTATTTTTATTTTTGACTCTAAAAATAAAATAAAATTTGTTTGTTAATTACTAAGTTAAAAAAAATACAAATTATACAGCAACCACCACCTTGTTACTTTCCACTATATATATAACAATTTAAGCCACTCTCTTGCTTACTACTTCCATTGCTCTCACTTCTTCTATTCATTCATTTTCTTTTCACTGACAAGGTGAATAGGAAATTCAGTTTCAAGTGATGGGTTCTGACGATCACTCCCCTCTGGTTGTTAAACGCAAGCGTACCAAGCGCCAACGGTCGTCTTCCCCACACCGTGTTGCTGCCTTGACTGATAGCTCATCCAGTGGTTGCGTTGGAGGAGAAAGATCAGAAAGAGAAAGGGGAGGAGTTGTTGTTGATGATTCTTATAACTCCGTATCCTCCCCAACAACATCTGGGGAAGTTTATGAGTCCACGGAAGAAGAAGAAGCCATGGCTAACTGTTTAATCATGTTGGCTCAAGGTGATGCTTCAAGGCAAATTCAACAACAAAAAGGAAAGTTTAATACTTCTTCTCGGAAATTCTCCAGTATTATCACTAGTACATCAAGCAAGGCCGGGTTCTATGTGTACGAGTGCAAAACTTGTAACCGATCTTTCCCTTCGTTTCAAGCACTGGGTGGTCACAGGGCGAGTCACAAGAAGCCGAAGGTGATAATAGAGGAGAAAAAATCATCAGTGGTTGTGGCAGAAGTAAACGGTGATTCAGTTGAAGAAAGTGGGCAATTACTTAAAAGCAGTAATATTCCTGTTGTTTCTTTGCAAGTAGCGGCCAACAGTAAGGCCAACAAAATTCATGAGTGTTCAATTTGTGGCTCAGAGTTTACATCAGGACAAGCCCTTGGTGGTCACATGAGACGACATAGAGCTACGGCTGCTGCAACAGTAGTTAATCAAGTGGGTGGTGGTGCTAACAATTCTGAAGCTATCAGTAATGAATCCAACAGTGGTGATCATCATAAGCCTCAACCACCTAGAAGTATTCTACCGTTGGACCTTAATCTTCCCGCACCATCCGAAGATCATGATCATCAATATCATCTCCGTGATTCCAAGTTCCAATTTGGATCCACTCAGCAAGCTCTTGTCTTCTCCGCCTCAGCTTTGGTTGATTGCCACTACTAAAACGGAAAACACTCCAGATGTGAATTATTATTATAATATGATTGTTATAATTTGATATGAAAATTCTTGATACAATTATCAATTCTTTGAATGATTAAATATTTTAATATTCGATGATCTCTATTAGTTACTAGTTGAATACTTTGAGTAAGTGGTTAGTGTTGATGGTTGCCTTTGATTCACGAAAAGTGAGTGATGAGGCATCTTTTGGGTGCCTAAAAAATGAATGTGTAGTTATTGTTAAGTGGGAGAGAGCGATGTGTAAGAGTGAAGGGAGAGAGGTTTGGCATAGCGAGAGCAGGGGCAGGAGCACCACAACTAAAAGTGGTGGATTAGGTTGTTCTTTGTCAATTTTTGGATACAAATAAAGCTCGCTCTTACTTACTCTCTCACAGTCTCATCGGTTTCTTTCATTAAATGACAAAGAATAAATGGATAGCAAAGCTGAGTTGGTTACTGCTCTTGCCATATGTATCCACCTGTATTTCTCTTTATTTATATTGTATTATTATATAATATAGATGGGAAATGGTCCACCTTTACTTCTTCTTATAAGTCTACTTGTTACACCTAATTAACCAACTTTAACTTTCCCTTACTTTGCAAGTCACTTAACTAAACTCAAACTATATCCCATTTGTAAGGTCCACCTTCCTGTTCATTTCTTTTTTCTTTTTTCTTTTTTTGATAGATATAAAAATATTAATTAAATTACTTGACTTTTTATGGCTTAGAATTATATCAATACACATGGAGTGGATTTGTCTCTCAATTAATTAGGTTCTATTTCTTGTTAGGTGAGCCTCTTTTCACTATCAAATTATGTGGAAGATGATTACTCACTTAACCAGCTATTATTAAGATTATAAATGGGTTAATTAATGAAAGTGAGAGTTAAGTAAACCACTATTGGGTGGTTTGATGATAAAAGAGTAAAATGAGATTTCATAAGCTCTTGAGTTGGAGTCTTTACAAACCAGAATAAGAGTGGTCACTGAGAGATTTACTTGGTCCTCAACTTCAGAGTCTTGAGAGATTAATTGAAATGTGCATATTGAATACCTCCCATCATCCAAAAAAAAAAAGAGTTAAGTGAGTTAGCATCGGCTTTGTGTAGAGTTTGTTATGTGCACGCTTTGGTGAGAAGAGAAGTATGTGAAGAGTTGATTGCGTGAGATGTCTAAATGCATAAATAGAGGATATATAAAAATCCCATAATGATTCATTAACATTGGCACATGCACATGTAGTGGGAGGTTTTACACATAACTTCCTAATATTCTCTTCCACATATAATTATATTATTATTTTTATTCTATATGCTTAAAAGAAGTGTAAACCCCCCTCTATTTAATATTTTATACTATGCTGTACTTTGCTTCTTTTATTATTAAACCCTTATATTCATTGCCTGCTCCACTACTCAAAGAGACTCCCTCATTATTCTTTTTACATAAAATCTCCATGCTATATATAGTTGGCTTCTATGTAAGTTGAAAGCCTGCAATCAAATCATAATCTTTTAATTAAAGAGAAATGCGTAATTATATATTAAGGAATTTTGACCAAATACTTAAGGTTTTAATTGTGAATATTCACATAATGAAGAAGAAATCTAACTCCAACAGTAATAGTTAAACCACCACTGGATGGTCTAATAGTAAAAGAGAAAATAGAGATTCCATGAGTTCTTGAATTTGGTTCCTTCATGCACTAATAAGGGTGGTCATTGAGGCACTTACTTGGCAAATAGTTCCAGGGTCTCGGATGATTAATTCAAGTGCTCGTAAATTGGCTCGGACACTTCGGTGAAAAAAAAAAGAAAAAAAAAAGTAACAGTTATACAATCATTTTTCCAACTTTAGCATGGAAATCATTTTAATTCTGAAAATCATATATATACCATATATAGTCAATGCTCATATCCTAATCCAAAGTAGGAATAATTTAGGATAGAATATATATAGATTGTATATACACTACAGAACATGTGGATAGTGGATATCGATCGCCACAAGTGAAGTAGCGTGATTTCCAACTAGACAACTGGATGGCTAAGGAAGCCTTTCCAATTGGATAGGAAACTCAATTCCCACTCTTTTGCTTTTGTCATTATGCAACTGTGACTTGCTGTTTAAATTGTGTTAACTTTGGTACTTGCCGGCCCGCCATCGTAAAAATACACTAGTTGTTGCATGTTCATTACATAGAGATGTGGTTTAAATCCAAAGTAATCAACCAAATCAATGAGGTTTGGTCTCATAATTAATACCCATCATGAGTTAGATCCAATTAGGCTTTCTTGATTTTATTTTTTTGTGGTAGTTTGTCTTTTGGTAAGATATTGGGTACCTAATATATTTATATATATGATTCTTACAATTTGGTTTAGTTAGGTTGTCCATGGTCATGTTAGTTACAAAATGAAATCTATATGTATCTTTTCATACCCTAAGAAATGTGATAAATGATCAAAATTATAAATCAGAATGTATATATTGTGTAACATAGTATTATGATTAAACTAAGAGTATTTGTAACTCCAAAACCATGATAATTATCAAAAAGAAAAAAAAGTAAGGTCAACTATTTAGAAGATGATATTTAATTAATTTTTTTTTTTAAATGACCGAGGGTGTCCAGATCAACTTATGCGTACCTCAACTAGTTCTTCGGGACCCTTGAACTATCACTCAGATAAGAGTTTCAGTGATTATCCTTTTCAGCAACGGAGGAATAACTCGAGTATAAAAGTTCTTGAGTAATACATCTAAGAGTCTCTATAGAAGCACTTGGTCACGCAAAGATAGTTATTTAATTTAAATTTTATAAATACCTTTTTTCCATTTTTGGTCCCAAACATGACTCATTCACTTCACTGCCGTCCTGGTTTGAATGTTTGAAAGTGTTGAATAGGGTTGAAATGTGTTAAAAATAGGAAGATGGCAAAGACATCTAAAACTGTAACGGGGTTTAATTCTTAATAAAATTGAAAGTATTAGAGTCTTGGAAATAACTTGCACGCTAGGGAATCCAACAGACTCCTTATTTGGTCCCTAGACTGAAATAACTCTTACATTTTATCACCATTCAAATATCTACAGTCCTACACGTTAGCCTCTTAATTAATTATAGCCTCAAAACTACCGCTTCTCAAATCTCAACTTCAAATGCAAGAAAATCCAGGCAGGCAGATCTATTGCCAATTCTACTTTATGCCTGAATAAAAATAAAATTAAAAAGTTAAGCCAACCAGTTGCTGTGGTGTAGTGGTTATCACGTTAGTCTTACACACTAAAGGTCCCCAGTTCGATCCTGGGCAGCAACATTTTTTTTAAAAATTTTGAATCTAACAGCTTCATGTATATACTTCCTATATGTGAAAGTGACATAACAGGAACTTCTACAATGGCATCATCTATAGATTGTTGAGGCCCATCATTCACTTTGCAGAAGACACTTAGACAAAAACCAGGCCTCATATTATCCCACAAATTTTGTCAACATTACACCAAGTCTACAATCCATGTATTCAAATTGAATCCTACATTCCTCTGCTGACATTACAATATATTTGGTTGTCTTCCGGATTCCTGCATATACATTTTGATATTGAACGTCTTTACATTTGTATTTTTGGGTGGGTAGGTTTAGATAATTTATAATTTGAAAGTGAATTCAGAAATCACAGCAATTCAAGCAAAAGTAGATATAGAATTGCAAAAATGACCAGTGTATATTAGCTACATTCTACAAAAGATGATATATGAATAATAAAATTGCACCTGCTGAGGTTATTCAAACTTGTACATCTCTACACAAAAAATTACACTCCATCTTTCATCTCCCAACTCTGTAACCAAATTCACGGAGTAGGAATTTAACGTGCATGTAATCAGTTAGCAAAAACATTCAACTTCACTCGAGCCGTAACTTCTGGGTGAAGCTTCAGTTCTGCAACATATTCTCCAGTTTCACGGATCTCTGGAAGAGAAACGATTCTCTTGTCTACATCCCTACAGTTTGTTGAAACAAAAACAACAATTACACAAGCAGGGGTAGAGAGTTATTTGAAAAAAAAATGAGAAACTCCCTCTCTGTTCATCTAAACTTATATTTGTACTTCCTACTGTTTTCTGGGATCCATACTGCCCAACACATCAGCCTAAATATGATTGCTGAAATAATTCATAGTTCGTTATTCACCATTATTTTCTGTCTTCAAATAGAAACTAACCTTTCACATTTACAAAGGCGACCAACTTCATTCATATAAGCATTTCAAACAACTGGTAATAAAAAATGCCAAATCAAAATTTTATATGCTCCAAGTACATTAGATTTTGGTAATATTTCCCAAAATATTGCGAAAATTATTGAAGCTTGGGTTGAGTAATGGAAATTGCTGCAGATGTTCTGAAAATGTAATTTGTACAAGTATTGTCACAACAATAGTTATGGTGACATTCACATGATTACCCAGGATAGATTGAAGACAGTACCTTTGAAGCTGTGCCTTGATTATGTCAACAAGATCTTGAGCAGTAACACTGCCAAAATAAGTGCAAGTCAGATAGACACGATATAGAAAACATACTTGCTGGCCGCTTAATGTCATACCAGATCCAACTTACCTTCCAAAAATCAGTTTTCCTTTTCCACCCTTGCGTTTCACCTTAAAAGCTCCAACAGTTTCAAAAATTTGCGCTAGTTGTTGTGCCTCTTCTTTTACCTGCACAAAATGAATTTGTCTAAGATGATAGCTATATTTATCTAACAAATAGATTCCACCATTAAATAATCTGACATCTCTGTTTGGGAGAAATAAATAGTCATGATTTACATCCAATTAAATATCAAAGCATCAAAATCTTTCATGAGAAAGTGGATCAAAGCCAAAAGCAACTGAGTAACACAGAGTCATTTTTTTTTGGAATCCAATGCAAGGGAAGACAAGGTAGATTAATTAAACAAATCTAGAAATTATATTAGGAAAAAAAGAAAGCACAAGCTTTCCAGAGTTTTGAATTAACTGCTTTGATGAACTGTAAAAAGAAGAAAAGGGGAAGCAGTGCTCCTTATTTTACCCACCAATGGCAAGCTTCACTTTCTAACCAGTAACACACAAAAAATGATTATATTGCAAGGATCTTTCACAGAACACTGACTGAGATAGTGTGACTACCAAAACTCACATAATAACAACACAGACAAAATTACACATGGAGACATACATCAGCTAATCTAGGAAGACTACATTTAGAACATAATCAAGGGCATGGCTACTCAATAAAATACGAGGAGAGATTACAAAATTTTAAATATATAGAAAAGGCCATAAACCGACTCAAATTTCTAAAATCGTTTTGTGACCTTAAAAATGTTTTTCAAGTGCATGACTCATGGGAAGAAGAAAACAAATGCACGTGCTACTTAATTACCCGCTTCTTCTCAGCCTCAATTCTTTCCTCTTCCAGCTTCATTTCCCTGCACAAGTATATGGGTTAATTTCAAAATCAAGGGAAAAGAATGAATATTCTTCAATAATAGGACATAAATGTCATAATAAAAAACTTTTGTCAACATTCATTATCTGCAGAAAAAAACATGTCTCCACTATGCAAGACAATGCAGTCTAATGACACAGTTCTCATACATACTAAACCATACTATTAAACTCTACTTTCAACTGCTTTCTTCAAATTTATTACAAGATTGTAAGTCTTGATGAACTCATATTCTCATCTACGGTTTTAGGGAGCTTCCAAAGTAAAATCAGTGGACTAAATAAGTTGAACTAAAAAAAACTTATATTCTCATCGAATTAGCATCAAATATTCAATAAACATTAGAAAGGACACCAGAATCTAAAAAATAATAGAAACAAACCATGAAAACAGTGTAAAGAACATTAAATTTTCTGCCCTGTTAATAAGAAATGTTCAAGTCATGAAAAGAAACTATGTTGAAAAACAAAGCCGCATTAGATTATAGTGGAAACACCACCTGAACCTTAACTGTAATTCTAACCATCAATCAATCAAAGACCATGCTGATGAGCACTAGGTCAGCCATTGGCAACTAAACCCACTGAAGGCAATGAAACAAATAAACAAAAGCAAATTGGGCGTAAACTGGAATAGACATTGAGGTTCTTCAACTGACTCCACCAAATCAACCTTAAGAAAATTGGGGAAAACAAGGTTAAATTATTTGACATAGAAAGCCACGAAAATTCTTATTTCTTGCGGATAAAAGAGATGAAAAACTATGGATGCTATTTTATAGACGCAACCAAACATTTGACATGACCTTAGATATATGAATAATATATTGTTTAAGCACATTGCAAAATACATGATTGAGGTTTCTTTGGCACACTATGCATCAGAACAAATGTAGTCATGGCTAAATTAAATTTCTTCAGATTAAAATTTATCATGAATGAACACAAATGTCATCAATAGTTATCACATATACAAAAGCCAGTTTAAGAAGAAAACCAACAGAAAGCGAAACAAACGTATTACTTGAGAAGAACAGGAGTGACAATCTGAGCTTTGCCCATTGGCAGAAGATAATTCCTATAAAATCCTGCCTTCACATCCAATAGTTGCCCTTTCTTTCCCAACTCCTCCACATCCTCTTTCAGTATTATCTAACACCAAAAACATAAAATTAAAACTTAAACAACCACTAAAAAAAAAAAATAAAAATCCCAAATTTAAGCTAAAATCAAACAACCCGTTTAGGGTAGAGAAAATATAAGTGAGAACTAAAGAACCTATTTCATTTTAACAATCAAGTTTTTACCTTACGAGTTTTTTTGGCTTTCTTTTGAGCCAAAACCAGCATAACAGCTCTTTTGTCGGGCAACTTCACAGTTTCATTAATGCTGCTACGGAAGCTATGAAGCCAAGAAGAAGAACTCCATGAAAGAGTGGCTGATGATGATGATGATACTGCCATTTACACCGCCCAGAAACTTTCTCTGTTATCACTCTATGTGATCTTATCTGGTTGCCGCTCCGTTTTGTTACAGTAACATAAGACCCATTTTGCAAATAAAATAAAAATAAATTTACTTTGTTCACCCTTAAGTTATTAAAATTTCGGGTGCGTTTGGTGTAGTATTTTGGATAGGATTTTGAGGATAGTATTGGATTGTTGGATAGGGGAGTATTACGAGGTAAATTTGAAAAATTTATGAAAAAGCCCTTAGGTTTACTAATTTAATTAAAGACCCTACTATATAAAATGACAAAAACACCCCCACCACTTGCAGTGTCAGATTCCGGCCGCCACCGCCGAAATCTGGCTGAAAAATTTCGTTACGGCACAGACCGATCGGATCTGTGCCGTAACGCATCATTATGGCCTTTTCCGGCCAGATCCACCACAGATCTGGCCGAAAAAGGCCAGATCTACGGCCTGTTATGGCCGTCGACGGCCGGAAAGGCCAAAGCGACGGCCAAAGATGTGGCCGTCGTTTTCGGTCAACAACAGCCATTTCTTTGGCCGTCGCTGACGGCCAGATCTGGCCTTTTCCGGCCAGATCTGTGGTGGATCTGGCCGGAAAAGGCCATTCCGACCATTTATGGTCGGAATTTAGGCCGTTGTACAGATTCCGGCTATCACCGGCGGTGGTTGCCGGAATCTGACAAGTTGGGTTGATGGGGGGGGTTTTGTTAATTTAAAAAAAAATTCAGGGGGCATTTAGTGAAATTAATAACCTTATGGGGTTTAAAAGTAATTAAAAAAATAGGATAATATTTCTGGAATAGTGTGCCAAACATTATTTGGAGAATAAGATTGGGAATATGGATAAAAATAGAGAGCCAAACGCACCCGAACTATTTTTCTCACACGTGTTGCCTTATGCTTTTGATCCTCTTTTTTTATTTTTTTTAAGAATTTCCCAAACTTCATGATCTTCTTCGTATATAAATCCAAGGAGACTGTTAAATACGGTTTAAAATAACGTTAACAACATCAAACATAAATATAAAAGAATTAGGAAATTGATCATCTTCAATTATTCACTTATATTGAAATCCATTATATTGTTGTAATGGATTTCAATTAGGAATGTCCCATTTAAATGAGGTTTAGGAGTTGTATTACTTTATCAACTGTTAAACGTAATTTTTTACAATAATACTACGCATACATTATTCTCATACAATATTAGGTGGTAAGATATGATTGGGTAAAAGTTTAATTTTAACTTTAAATTAGTTAATTATATATTGCCATATAATGTTGTATGAGAAATGTTGTATGAGAATGATGTATGTGTAGTATTACTCAATTTTTTAATATAAAAAGAAGTTTTTACAATGGAATGTATGAAGTGACAAAAAAAATATCAAATTGTAAGTTTGTATTTTTTTTTATTTTTTTTTATTTTAAGTAGCATCTTTAGTTAAAAGTAGTGATCAAGAACTAGATACTTTTGTTAGCACAACATTGTTAAAAAAACCTTTTTTTTTTTTTTTAATTATATGATTTTTTTTTTTTTTGTGATTGAGAGTGTTCGGGCCAACTTACGTGTATCTCAATTAATCTTCCAAAGCTTTGAAGTGAACAATCGGATAAATCATTTAAGTGATCACCCCTATTAGTGTTTGAGGGACTCGAACTTAGAAACCCATATTGAACCCTTTTGTTTTTTTACCATTAGATTATCTAATGGTAGTCTATTACACGAATTTTCTTATGCATATTTAATACGTGATTGGTTATACTTATTTATATGCTAATATTTGAATAATGGAAAACTATATTAAATACATCTATTTGTAGGGGTGAGTGGAAGAGTAGCTCATTTTCAAGGGTCTTGGTTTGGCATCTTGCACGTTATAGCCCCTCCTTATTAAATGAACAACTTTGCCCTTATAAATTAAATTTAACTCTTCACTTTTTATTTATCTCTTCAAACACAACCATTCTCTCTGCACAGATTGACAACAAATCAATCAAATTATCCTCCATTACCATTAAAATTAATTCTTTCATTTGTAAGCCATAATGTTTTCATCATTTAAATGTATATTTTTAATATAAGATAATTAAGGAATAGAGGTCATGTGTTAAATAATGTATTTCAGTCTAGAATAGCTAGGTAGTAACCGAGGTTGGATGCCATACTTTTGGTTTGATACCTATAGAGTTGAAAGTTGGTGTTTTCATATTTGTATTATGTTGGCATCTGCTGGTTTGCCCACTACAAGTTATTTAGGATTAGAAGTTGAAGACGATATGCTTGACTCTCAATCTTTTAACAACATCATGCGTTGTTTTGTATTATGTGTCATTGCTCAATATCATATTATTGAATGTATCGAACGACAAAAGTGCAAATAGAAGGTGTATCGCATCTTTTCAAAAACATTTTTTTTTAAAGATAAATTATATAGGATCTTTTGCATTTCGTGAGATTTTATTTATTTATTATTAATATTCTTATATTCTCTGTTAATTAATATTTTGTTTTATTTAGATTGAGAAAAATAAGTTAAATGACAATTAAGAGCCACAATTGGTGGTGAATATTAATAGGCGTGGATAACTAAAGCCTTGAAGATTCTCAAATACAATAATCATGCAGAACTGGAAACAATCATACAGATAGCTTTGAATTGAAGCACCCCATATTTATATATGAAGAACATTATCGTTTTGAACAAAAGCAGTTTTAAATTAAATTTAATATACTTTTGTCTCTTAGAAGTGGGTATAGAGCGTGTGCACAACAAAAGCTTTAACATATTTTATTTTGAATTTCTTATAAAGATTTAGCTATGTAGAGCCTCAACAGAACAGTGGCTTGACTCAGCCTCTTCTTTTATATAATAATAAGAAGCAATGAACTTACTCGTATCCCGAAGAATAATTGAGACCTGCCAACAGATACTTATTAATTAATAGCATTATTCAACAACCAAGTCGTTTATATTTATTCCCAAGGCGTTGTTGGTTCCGATTCGGCAATGTTACAGGAACAAGTGCATACTCTTTTCAACAAGAATTTTTTATTTTTTTATTTTTTTAATCAGAGTCTTAAATTAGTTTGTATATATCTTAATTAATTTTTAAAATCTATTAAATATCTTACAAACTCAATATTTCAAATAAGTCATAAATATGATAGATGACCCTAAGATTTTGTAAATCCAAGATGTTATTTAATTATTAAAATAATTAAAGGTTAAAATGGAAGAGATAATGATGAGTTAAATTAATTAAATTAAATATATGATCTCTTTAATTTTTATTGCTGAACCTGTTCCATCTCTCTTATTTTTTAACCCCAAAATAATCGTTTAATTTTTGCATCATTGCATACTATTAAATAATGAAGAAATATAGGTGTTTGACCCTAGATGTTCAAGCTTGCTGGGGACTGTAGATGGAAAAAGAATTTATCAAAGACAGCAAACAAATATTATTCCTAAAATTCGTGTTTTTTTTTTAAGAGTAAACGACTTTTTTCCACTCAAATAATAGTTTAACGATACTTTTTTACTCACAAACTTTTAAAATATTATTTTACTACTTAAATTTATATTTCGTTTTTAATTTTAACATCTTTGTGATCCTATACCACCATTATTCTCTTCCCTCTAAAATCCTTTAAACCTTACTCTCGTAAACTTCGCTAATCATAAGCAATCGAGAGGTTGGGGTTTGTGCAACCGCCTCTCCCAAATCAAAATTTGATCAATCTCAACCACTAAAACCCAACATTTCATCATCAAAAGACTTATTGGCCTTCACTTTTCGAAAGCACAAACAATTTAGATCTAGTTTGCTCTTTGTTAACCGTGAAAATATAAATTTAGGTAGTAAAATGGTATTTTAAAAGTTTGTGCGTAGAAAAGTGTTATTAAGCCATTATTTGGGTGGGAAAAAGTTGTTAACTCGTTTTTTTTAATTCTCAATCAAAAGTTACTTAAAAAAGGGGTTTTTAGTGGTTATTTGAAAATTAATTTGACAATTCTTAGAGAAAACGTGTTTTTATTTTTTAATCTCTCAATCAAATTTACTAAAAAAGGGTTTTAATTAATTGGTATATGAAGCAATTTAAAATTTTGGACAATTCTTAGAGAAATTAAAGTATAGACTGTTATTTCAATATTAATTTCGAGACTCATAAATATAATGTTAATTGTTTTAAAAATAAAAGATTTTATTAATAAATCACAGCAATAAAAACGTCATCGATCTTAGTTAATGTTATTTGAATGTCTACGTAACTTCAGCATTAATACCTAATATTTTTGCATGGTTATTGGAAATGGTCAAAACAAAGTTTGGCATTAATGGTTACGCCATAAAAGTAAGACTTGAACACTCTCAGCTGCAACATAACCACTTCAAGGAAAATTGGATGTTCAGACTGAGTGATTCTTGATCGTCATGGCCGCCATTTCATTGGAGAAAGTCACAGCAAATTTAGTTGGGTGCTTCCAACGATGTCATATCATAGAATTAACATCATTTTCTAAGACTTTTTTTATTATTATTATTATGACAAGTTGTGTATTAACAGTTATACAGATTGAGATTTACTTTTAATCAATAGAAATCAGACTGAAAAGAGTTATAGCCTTTAAGATAAACTTTATTTAACCTAAAGTTTTTCTTTATCTAGAATTAATTGCAGTTGTTTCTATTAGCTGCTTAACATCCAAGAATTGGGCTATGTCAAACAGTGACGATATTCCATTGGAACGTACGTATTGTTTTTCTCTTCGTATAAACAGGAAGCATCGGAAAATTTTTCAACTCACTGCGTAAAAATTTGACGAAATGAAAGACTAATTACTTAAATTTCTTCTATCCTTCTAGGTATAACCTATCAATGTGTCTACCTATAATAGATGGTGACAACTGATAGAATAAATGAGCGTGTGTTTGTCTAGCATATAGTCAGTATATGTTTGAAAAAATTTCATTCAGCTTTTGTAATTAATTATAGGTTTTGATGG